AAAGAAAGAAAGAAAGAAAGAAAGAAAGAAAGAAAGAAAGAAAGAAAAAGCTTGGAAATGTGATGCATCTAATTTCAGTATCAATGCAATTATTTGAATGACAAAACAACCAGCATATTAAAACCTTCAATAACAAGAGAGATAGTATTGTGTATGCCAGAGACCCTTAAGTGTTTTAAATCCAGATTTATCTCTCCTGGATTTATTATGAACTGAATCGCAGTTTAATATTTCTGATATATATCAGTAGGTGAGCCTTATAAACTGCCATAATAATGGCGCATTTGGGCGCTGCAATCCTAAAACACACTGGAAAAGATGGGGAAAAAACCTGAATAATACAAGGAAGCCCAAACTCTGCATTTAAAAAAATGGTATTGTGGTTCTGGCCACGAACTCCTGACTTCGGGGGCATTTCTGGCCAATCCTAAGGAGGAATTCTGGGAGTTGAAGTCCACAAGTCTTAAACATGCCAAGTTTGAAGACCCTTGCATGAAATCAATTCAGCTCCCTGGATTTAATATCTGTGTCCGTGGTGGGATTCAAATTTTTTTTACTACCGGTTCTGTGGGCGTGGGTGTGGTGTGGCTTGGTGGGCGTGGCAGGGGAAGGATACTGCAAAATCCCCATTCCACACTAACCTGCTTTCCAGCTCTGCTCTCCTGTGCAGGGCAACCAAAGAAGACCCAGCCGATCAGCTGGGACTCAATGGGAGGCAGAGAATAAATGGGAGCAGGGCCAGTCAGAGGTGGGATTTGCCGGTTCTCCAAACTACTCAAAATTTCCAGTACCGGTTCTCCAGAACTGGTCAGAACCTGCTGAATACCACCTGTGGATCTGTGTAGCTAAATAGGCTTCAATCAGACAAATGTTACGGCTACAAACCAGCATAGCTTAACCTCACCTGGGGACCGAAATTAACAATGCACAATCTGTTGGGCCCACCATGGTCTCTGTTCACCTAAAGATTATGTCAAAACAGTCATATCCTGGCTTGAAATAAAAGCAGAATTGTCACACATCTCAGGTGAAATGGTCTTGTTTGCGCAATGCAACCCATGTCATTTGATTCCTGAATTAACCCACATTCGGGTTTTGCAGAATGCCATCGGCCCACCTTATCCAGCGCAGCAAGAACTTGTCAACATGCCAGGCCACTAACTAAATGGACACGTGCACGTATGTTAAACAAGGGAAGTGCAAGGGAAGAGAGCAAGTCTGTGCCTCAGCGTGCAAATGTCTGTGCTGTGTCATGGCATCGCGTACCGTTTTGACATCATTGTGGCTTGCTACACAACCAAGATTAAAATTAGGGATCCCTGGTGCTCTCTGATTGTTTTCTTGCAGACGTTTCATTACTCAAACTAACATCTGTACTGATGTTATTCCCTAGTTGGGTAGTGAAACGTCTGCAAGAAAACAACCAAGCTCCAAGAACACCAAGGATCCCTTCATTTCACCTCTGAGCTACAAATATTCTTTTAAAGTTAACATTAACCTAATGTAGTGTGTTGCTGGGCTTACTAAGTAACTGGGTTTACTAAGCTGTGGACAACAAATTAAGGGTGTTTCGGTGTGGTGTGTGTAGAACAAACCAGCTATCTTGAGTTTAGTTAGACCAGAAACCCACCGTTTTCAGGAAAGAACAATTGGGGGTGACAGACTGTGGTACAAAAATTATGAAGCTAAAAAGTTTTAGGGTTTTTCCAGATAAGTTTTATGGTAATGGGATGTCTAAGCTGCTATTTCTTCTTTTCTGTCATCCTCTGTAGCTGAAGGGGGCAATTGAATTGACAGCAGTGTGTTTTTAGCAACAACCAACAAAGCACTTCAGTTTCCTCTTCTGCCTGGCATTTCCTTAGAAGTAAAATTACCTGCATCGATTTATCGGTTAGCTTTTCATAATCCTTGGTCAACAAAGAGAGGATTTTCCCCCCCTCTTTATTTTGGGTACAAATAAAGCAAAAAAGCAAAATAAAAAGATAACAAAAACCACCCACCCACCCCAATAAAACCTAAATTGAATAAGGAACACCTCAAATGTGGACTTATCTCCAAGATCAGAAAAACTCCAGCTTGAAGTCCTGCTGAGATAACAGCTTATTTGGTTTGAGCCAATCCTGTTGTGTGAATTCAATCATTGTGGTTTAACATGAAGTGTGAATGCTATTAACCAGCTTATGCAAAAATCACAGTTAAGCGGTTTAGGGATCAGATGTTCCAGCAAGTTCAGGAGATCAAGGAATATCTGAAGGATCTAGTAACCAAACTCTTTAAGAGGGAGGAATGGCTAAAATAATTACCCAGGGGGTTTATTCTGCCAGTGAGAAGAGCCAGGAGACCTACAACATTATGGTAGCCTTTGGATATAACAGGTTGTTACATAAGAGGGGATCCACTCATCTCCCAAAGCACCAGAAAGCAAGACAAGAAACAATGGATGGAAACTAATCAAGGAGAGAAGCAACTTGGAATTAAGGAGAAACTTTCCAACAGTGAGGACAATTATTAACCAGTGGAACAGCTTGCCACCAGAAGTTGTGGCTGCTTCCTCACTGGAGGTTTTTAAGAAGAGACTGGACAGTCCCTTTTGTCTGAAATGGTAGAGAGTCTCCTGTATTGATTATACTATTGTACATATGAGTGGATCTTCTCAGTTGGCCCAGAACTGATGGATAAACCCAAGAAGTAGGCTTAGATGGAATAAGCAGGAAACTCTTGATCAAATGCAGGCTAGTAGGGACTCGGGAAGAAATCCGTGATTATTTCAGCTAAGGGCCAGTGGAACAGCCTGCCACATGAAGCTGTGAAGTCTCCTTCACTGCTTATTTCGGGTGGAGAAGGATCCCTGAGCAGATGACCCATAAGAAGAAACCTCGAAGGGTTTTTGTGATAAACTCACCCCTGACAGGCTCCTCCTCATGCAAAAACCCATCCTCCTGCAGTCCATTCAAGCCAATTTACCAAGGCTGTGTGTCCGGATGGCTCAGGAACGCAGCTGTAACAGCCCCGGGGTTTCCCCGATTCCCTGACTTCTGACTGCACCAAGAACCCCCCCAAATGTGGATTTGCAGCTCACGGTTTCCTTCTACTCCCAATCCGCTTCCTCCCACCGCTTTTGCGGGCTGCAACCCCTCCTTTCCACCCAGCCCAAATGCCGCAACTGATGCAGAGCAGAGTTTCCAGTCCAAAACTCCAACCCACCCTGACAATAAAAACCCACCCTAAAAAAACCCAGGTTTAATACGTACCCTTCCCATGCCTAGGCAACCCATTCAAGACGCAACTCTTATCATGCATATGTTCTTTTTTTTTCCCCATAGGGTGGAAAAAACTTAGATGGCATTACATTTTTTAAAAAACAAAAAAAAAATAGAAATCTTTATTGGCCAAGTGTGATTGGAGCCACAAGGAATTTGTCTTTGGTTGCAAAGTGCCCATAAAAAATATTACATAAAATAAAATAAAAAAATAAGACAGGGATCTCACTACCAACCCCCAGCAAAAAAAAAAAAATAATAGAAAGAAAATCTGGCTTGGAGGAGACAGAGAGAAAAAAAACAAAACCCGCAGCGCAACCCAGCTGCAAAACGCGCGTGAGAACGCAGACAAGCGCGTGGGTTGCTCCCCCCCATTTCTTCCCCCCCCCCCCCCCCGTTTCCCGGGGCGGCCCTCCCCCCCGCGCCGGCCTCCCCCCCTCCCCTTCCCCCCCCCCAGCCCTTCCCCCTCCTCCGGCGAGAAGAGGCGGAGCCGCCGAAGCCGGGCCGACACGTGGGCAAACGGGGGGCGGAGGCGGCTTCTTAGGCAGCGGCAGGCGCCGGTACTGGGCCTTGTTGGATCGCCGCCGCCGCCGCCGCCTCCTCTTCCTCCGCCCGCCCCGAAGCGCAGCCGCCGCCGCCGCCGCCGCCAGCCCCGGAGCCGGCCCAGGGAGAGCGAGGCGAACCATGCCGGGCGCGCTCCGCGAAGAGACGGCGCAGCTGCTGGGCGACTACGTGCAGCACCGGCTGGGGGGCGCGGCGCCGCTGCCTCCGCCGAGCCGCACGGCCGAGACGCTGCGCCGGGTGGCCGACGAGCTGGAGAGCCGCGAGCGCCTCTTCTTCCGCAACGCCTGCAGCGCCGCCGCTTTGCCCGAGCCCGGCGAAGCGGCGGTGGTTTTGCTGGGCCGGGTGGCCACGCAGATGGAAGCCGAAGGCGGCCTGAACTGGGGCCGGGTGGTGGCGCTGGTCGTGTTCGCCGGCAACCTGGCGGCGGCGTTGGCCGAGCGGGGCGGCCCGGATCACAGCGGCGCGCTGGTCGAGGCGCTGGCCGCCTACCTGGCCGAGGAACGGCGGGACTGGCTGGAGGCGCACGGCGGCTGGGTAAGCGCGGCCCCTCGGCGCCCCCCCTTTCCCGGCCGAGCCTTGCCTGCCAGGCCGGCTCCCTCCCGTCTCCTCTCCCCCGCCCGGCTCGGCGGAAGGGGGCTGCGGCTCCTGCGGTCTCCCCGCTTCTGCAACCCCCGCCCCTCAAGCCGCCTTGCAGCCCCGCTTCCCGGGCTGCTTTTGGAGCCTGCGCTGGCGGTGGGGGGACCCCCCGGGATCCTCTGGCCGGGCCCCCGATGCCCTTTTTTCCCCTCTCTCCCTCCCACCCCCGCCGGCCCTTCTTTCCTTCCTCCTCCTGCATCCGTCCCCGAGGCCGCGGCGCTTGACCTTGGCGCAGAGGCTTTTCGCCGGCTGCTTTTTAAAGATGCGCGCTTGGGCGCCTGGACGCCGAGGCTTCTCTCCAACGCCCCCCCCCCCCCCCCCCCCCCCCCCCCCCCCCCCCCCCCCCCTCTCCAAGCCCCGATGCGGAGCCCGAAGGAGGCGGCAGAATTGCAGAGGAAGAAGCGGGGCGGGCGAGGAAGAAGGGGGAGCGGGTGGGAGGGTCGGCTGACGGCTGGGGGCAGCGGAGAGGCCCGGCGGAATGTCTTTTTTTACCCATATAAGGGAAGCAACCGCGGACAAACCGTGAGAAGTTGCCTTAGAAAGCGCTTTTCTTGGAATCTGGGATCGGCCTCCCCTCCTCCCTCTCTCTCTTTCTCTCTCCTTCCTTCCCTCCTTCCTTCCCTCC